ATTTATCTATCTTTGCGTGAGTATGCGTGTCCGTCTCTATTTTTGTCTCTGTCTCTGTCTATATGTATGTATATATGTATATATATACATATATATATATATATATATATATATATATATATATATATATATATATATATATATATATATATATATATATGTATATATATATATATATATATATATATATATATATATATATATATATATATATATATATATATAATTATATACACATATAGACATCCAATTTTCTCTATTGGCATATAAATTTATTTGTATTATCCTGCGTGTGAATCAGGCGAACAGGCGAATGAGTTTGCAAGGACACGGTTTGCTCGAGAAAGGTTATAGTTTAAGTTTAGATAGACTAAACTTATGGCTTATTTAGACCAGTTTAGATTGGGTGAGGCCCAGAGTTATGTAATTTGCATTCTGACAGACTCCTCTGCATGACGCAGAAAGCATTAATATGCATTTACTGTTATGAGAGTTTCTGATTCGATCTTCCAGTGCTAGACAAAGGGATCGAATTCCTCTTGCGAAAGTTTCATAAGGAGAACTTATACACTTTTTCGTTTATAAGAAAAAAAAAATACGTTTAGCTTGTAGATATATATCATAAACCAATTAAGCTATCTATAACTACTATCAACCTCCCACGAGAAAAGTGACGATAAAAAATTAAACAATAGCATTATGAGTAAGATACTAGATTTTTTTTCGCTAGCTGTAGGGGGCAATAGGTTCAAAGCAATATTACATGACACATGACTCCCTGACACTAAACTATAACTAGCAGCGACCCGGTTTTGCCTCTGCATACATCGAATAAGGTCAAGGGGGGTTTTTATCAGGGAACAATCGTCCTGCAGGAGTGGTTGCCCAGCACGCAATATACGTATGTTAAGGGACACAAGCATTTATAGTTGTATGTGTTGTGTGTGTGTGTATGTGTTTATATATCCGTTGTGTTTTGATTATATGTTTTTGTACAAGGTACAAGGTATGTGTGTCCCTTGTACACAAAAGCACTACATTTATCAGTAAAATACGTTAATTCATTTTAGTCTGCCAGAGAACTAAGTGAAAGTGTCGAGTTTTGTGCGTAGACTTTCGAACCGGTAGTAACTGTTCCTTCCTGATTCTGAAGATAACATTAACGGAGGAAGACGGCCGCTGTACCCAAGACACGGGTATTGCCGTTCAAGATGATGATGAAGATAAGAATAGCGATCACGTGTTGATAATACCAGGAAATGCTGCTAATTGTTTATGGCTGTGATAAAGAGAATGGTGTTGATAGGTACGGTGGAATTTAATCATACGTCATATACATATCGTATATTTTTTACTGTTTATAATAGATAAAAACAAATACTTTGATGATGTTGATCACAACGACATCACAGATACCGCCACACAAATATCCTATTATATAACGATAAACATCTGCAAAAAAAACTATTAAAAAAACAAAAAAACATAACACGCTTGAATGGCAGTTCACGATAGCGATAAAACTTCTATTCTGTAAGAGATGACAGGGACGCTGCCATAACGGGATAGGAATGACACTGAATGACAACATAAAACGCCACTGGCAAGACGTGAATGGCAAGGCTAGTGGACCGAATTGCAATATTGGCCTAAATTGATGTCAAAACTGATGCTGATGTTGATGTTGATCTTGCAATTCACATTAATGTTGATGTTGATACTGATGTTTTTTTTTGTTTTTTTTTGATTGATGATAATTTTGTTTTGACTTTAATGTTGATATTGATGCTGATGCTGAGATTGATGTTGATAATTGATGCTGATATTAATATATTGCTTGCGATATTGATAGATATTCCTATATTGATACGGGTATAGAACTTAATGTTAATATTAACACTGATATTGTTTAATATTACATAACACAGAGAAAAAGGATTGAGCCTTCTGAGTATTAACCCGTTGCATAATTACGGTACATATATATATATATATATATATATATATATATATATATATATATATATATATATATATATATATATATACATATATATATATATATATATATATATATATATATATATATATATATATATATATATATATATATATATATATATATATATATGTATGTATATATATATATATATATATATATATATATATATATATATATATATATATATATATATATATATATATATATATATATGTATATATATATACATATATGTATATATATATACATATATATATATATATATATATATATATATATATATATATATATATATATATATATATATATATATATATATATATATATATATATATATATATATATATATATATATATATAATATCATTAGACTGAAATAAACTAACAGACTAAAATATTTCGAAAATGATAAAAAATATGTTACTTTTACAAAAGACATGTTATGAAGTCGCACGTAAAAAGAAGGAAAGATGAAAATATATATATATATATACCGAATATTAAATTTTAAAAAATCATAACAAAGCCTGCGTGACTAGAATATTTAATAAATTCATATGTAAAAATAAAAGTATGTATATTAGTGTATAACTAAAATATTACAAAAATGAAAAACACTTACTTGTAAAAACAGATAGATAAAGGATATTCCTCGTCTGCCTTTTGCCTGCTTCTCTGTTTGTTTTTCTGTTTGTCTGTCTGTCTCTCTCTCTCTCTCTCTCTCTCTCTCTCTCTCTCTCTCTCTCTCTCTCTCATTCTCTCTCTCTCTCTCTCTCTCTCTCATTCTCTTTCTCTCTCATTCCCTCTCATTCTCTCTCATTCTCTCTCTCTCTCTCTCTCTCTCTCTCTCTCTCTCTCTCTCTCTCTCTCTCTCTCTCTCTCTCTCTCTCTTTCTCTCTCTCTCTCTCTCTCTCTCTCTCTCTCTCTCTCTCTCTCTCTCTCTCTCTCTCTCATCTCTTCTATTTTTATTTTATTTTTTTTTTAGTTGTGTGTGAAACGAAAAGTGGATGATGGTTTGTGGATATTTACGGACAAGGCAAATGTGTTGTTCTGGGAAGGGAGGGAAGGAGGGAGGGATGAAAGGGGGGAAGAGCGAGAAAAGAAAGGGGGAGGACTGAAGGAGGGAAGAGGGGAAGGAGGAAAGAGGGAAAGAAGGGAGGAGGGAGGAAGGGAGGAGGGAAGAAGGGAGGGAAGGAGCGAGGGAAGAAAAGGGGAGGATTGAAGGAGGAAAGATGGGAAGAAGGGAGGAGGGAAGAGGGAGGGAAGAAAGGGGGAGGGTTGAAGGAGGGAAGAGGGGAAGGAGGGAGGAAGGAGGGAAGAGGGAAAGGAGGGAGGGAAGGGAAAGGAAAGAAGTGAAACAGAAAATATATAAGAGAGAAGGAAAAGGAGGAGCGAAGAAAGAAAGAGAAAGTAGGATGGAGGAAATGGGGGGGGGGGGGATAGGAATACGGAAGAAGACAAATGGAGGAAGAAGAAGACAGGAGAAATCTATGAAAATAAAAAGATCAAGAAAAAGCAAAATAAAGGGAACTCGCAAAGAACGAGAGAGACGTGTGAGAACTGGAGCAAAAAGGAAAGAGAAAAAAGAGGACGGGGGAATAGGTGGGCAGGAGAGAGGGAAAGGAGGAGGGGAAGAGGGAAGAGGGAAAGGGGGAAGAGGTTCGGGGGTGGAGAGTGGAGGGTGGTGGGTGGAGGGAGGAGGGTGGAGGGTGGTGGGTGGTGGGTGGAGGGAGGAGGGTGGAGGGCGGAGTGTGGAGGGTCGAGGGTGGAGGGTGGAGGGAGGAGGGTGGAGGGTGGAGGGTGGAGGGTGGTAGGCGGAGGGTGGAGGGCGGAGGGTGGAGGGTGGAGGGTGGAGGGTGGAGGGTGGAGGGCGGAGCGTGTAGGGTGGAGGGTGGAGGGTTGAGGGTGGAGGGTGGTAGGCGGAGGGTGGAGGGTGGAGGGTTGAGGGTGGAGGGTTGAGGGTGGAGGGTGGAGGGTGGTGGGTGGAGGGAGGAGGGTGGAGGGTGGTGGGTGGAGGGAGGAGGGTGGAGGGCGGAGTGTGGAGGGTCGAGGGTGGAGGGTGGAGGGAGGAGGGTGGAGGGTGGAGGGTGGAGGGTGGAGGGTGGAGGGTGGAGGGTGGAGGGTGGAGGGAGGAGGGTGGAGGGCGGAGTGTGGAGGGTGGAGGGTGGAGGGTGGAGGGTGGTAGGCGGAGGGTGGAGGGTGGAGGGTGGAGGGTGGAGGGAGGAGGGTGGAGGGCGGAGTGTGGAGGATGGAGGGTGGAGGGTGGAGGGTGGAGTGTGGAGGGTGGAGGGTGGAGGGTGGAGGGTTGAGGGTGGTAGGCGGAGGGTGGAGGGTGGAGGGTGGAGGGTGGAGGGAGGAGGGTGGAGGGCGGAGTGTGGAGGGTGGAAGGTGGAGGGTGGAGGGTGGAGTGTGGAGGGTGGAGGGTGGAGGGTGGAGGGTTGAGGGTGGTAGGCGGAGGATGGAGGGTGGAGGGTGGAGGGTGGAGGGTGGAGGGAGGAGGGTGGAGGGCGGAGTGTGGAGGGTGGAGGGTGGAGGGCGGAGGGTTGAGGGTGGAGGGTGGAGGGTGGAGGGTGGTAGGCGGAGGGTGGAGGGTGGAGGGTGGAGGGTGGAGGGTGGAGGGTGGAGGGTTGAGGGTGGAGGGTGGAGGGCGGAGCGAGTAGGGTGGAGGGTGGAGGGCGGAGGGTGGAGGGTGGAGGGTGGAGGGCGGAGCGTGTAGGGTGGAGGGTGGAGGGTGGAGGGTGGAGGGCGGAGCGTGTAGGGTGGAGGGTGGAGGGTGGAGGGTTGAGGGTGGAGGGTGGAGGGTGGATAGCCGTGCCATCAATACAGAGTGTAGCGGGGGTGGAGCGAGGGTTGGGGCGGGGTAGGGGGGGGGAAGGGGAGGCGAGGCTGGGTGGGTTCCCTCCCCTCTTCCCCTTCCCCCCTCCCCCCCTCCCCCCCTCCTCCTCCTCATGACCCCCTTCACTCCCACTCGGGTTGCTCAGTCACCCCGCAGACGTCGACGAGAGAGGAGGCCGTCGCGGAGCTCTCTCGGGCGTGTGTGTCAACGCGAATTAGTCTTGTGTGATGGTGTCTGCCGCCTGTGACCCCGCGCGGTGTTTCCGGATAAATGGTTTTAATCGCACCTGCCGTCTCTCCTTTATTCTGTCTCTGTGATGCTGAGCTATACTGACCTTCTGATGGTGACTAAGACACGGGGGATTTGATGGTGATTTTTTTTTCTTTTTATTTTCTTTTTGCAATAGTAACGTTGCGATG